CATTGTGTGCATTTAGGCCACATATGCTCGTTGATTATGTTGATCATGATAATGATATAAAAATTATGCTGCCAACCTGCTGTGAGCCATGGTGCGTATACGCATTATATGCTCATTTGTAGCGACTAAGTGCGTGTATTTTTACTTCCATCAAAAATACATGAGCTACATACAAATATTGTCGTTGTTGCCTGTGTGTTGTTGTTGCTCTTGTCATTTCGAGTGAAATCTATAATAACTCAAACCTGGCTGAACAGCATGCATGTAGAAATATTTATAGAAAATGCTTCCTGGAATACCCTAAATAGAATTGCAAGAGGTTCATGTGAGTGTATTAGCGTAAGGAATTGAAATGGAAAAGGAAATCTCATAGAGAAGCTCAATCATTATTCCTCGAAATATGAAATACACCAGGGTGTAGTCTGAAAGTGTTCCAATCTCACAAGAAATTGATGTAAATACAAAATCAATCTATATAGAATTATATATTTCTATCATTATTTATTTTTATTTCTATTTTATTCTTTAATCGAAATTTGTGTTACATTGTTTGAAGATATACGTATATTTTATATTATTATAAGATAGATTTTCTCTTAATCGATAAGGAATTAATTTTGAAACTTGATTTTAAAGAAAGTAGAGCCCAAGAACAAATAGAGCTAGGGATCCGCTCGACAACAACAAGAGAAAGATTTTCCATAATACTCCATTTAAACTAAATCCACTTAAAATATAGATTGTAGCTCAGCTACTAATTATGCACATAGAGCATTTTCTAGTCCGGCATACCCCACTTGGCTTTTCCGCTGCCTGATTTACACATACAAATTGTAGAGAGATGGTTTCAATGGCTTTCCATAGACGTGGGATAATGCTTGTTTATTTATTTTTTTTTTTATTTCTCCCACTCACATGGATCAGTTAACGCTTGCCAAAATGACATTCAGCAAACAACAACAACAAGTGAAAATAAACCAAATAGCAGCCAATCAACACTTGCTACAAATCACAGAAACTACAACAACAACAACAACAACTTTTTGATGCGGGTCATGTGGAAAATTGGGGTTGCATTTTCCCCTATATACGTATGTGTTATTTTTTTCCTGCTCTCGTGCTGGCATTTTAAATTAGCGCTAATTGAATCAAGCCAAGAAGTGTTTTCGTTCTCGTTCATCGTCCAGCTGTCTAGCCCGTCCATATGTCCGCTAGTCCATCGCGTCCCTTTGTCCGTCTGTCAGCCTGTCAGTTAAGTCAGTTAAGTCAGCTGTCACATGTGCAAATTTGCCGAATAAGTTTTTTGACAGCCTCCAAATCCCGCACATTGGCATTCGCATGTAAGGCAAGCTCGGGCTGCTGACTCGACTCGAAGGTTCTTTAATTTCTCGATTCTTTAATTCGATTAGTTAGGATTGTCACCGGTGTTTTACTAATGAGTATTTTTGGGCCGAAAGTGAACATTATTTACGCATTGACTAGGAATTTGTTAATGGACTCTAGCAGGAGCTGCTCGACTACTATATACCCTGAATTCCCTCAGCTTTTTGAGAGAAATGTATATGACCTCAAGTAACTTAAGCCCGAATGACCAAAGGGATTTCATGGAAAGAGCTATCGATGATGCCAAGCAGACCAAGAGAGAGCCAAGAGCTCTCGCTCTTATAGATCAAAAGATGAGAGGCAGCAAATAGGACGCCTGGACAGTAGAATGCTCGAATAGTAAGACACATTCAGATCGAGTCGTCTGCTGATCATGTATAAGACTAGATCGTTCACATCTCCCTCTTCTCGTTGCATACCTTTTCACCTATTCGCTCTGCAGTCTCTGGCTTCTAGGGTACAAGCATAATTGCTTTTTGATTAATTGACTCGATTTAATGATATTTCTTGACTGTCAGCCCAATTAATATAATATACAATTATTTACTTTACTCTTAGCTGCTCAAATATCATTTAGCTTTCCGTTTTCAATAAGGCTAAAAGCCTGCAAGTGTCTTAGACAAATATGTTAAGCATTATATCTGATCCAGTTGACGGCCTATAGCCAGGCGAGCTATCTCGCTTCCAATTCAATTACATCTCCGAACTTCAATTGTTATCTTTAATTTGCTTTAATGCTTGTTTAAACTACTCTCGACTGTTCACACAAATTTACGGATAATTTTATTTAATTTACCTCATTTAAAATGCATTTGCTGTGCATATGTCACATGCTAATTTATTTAAGTGTAAAGATATAACTGTTTAATATTTCAATTAACACAAAAATATTTAGTTAACATTTAAAAAAAAACAAGTAAGAAAGCTCCAGTCGAGACTGCTCGACTAGGAGATACCCTGAACCCTCCAAGCTGATATTCTAATCATTCTGCACATCTTTTATGCACACATACATACACATGCATCCACACGCACGCATAAGCCTGCGCTCTGCTAACTGCGCAGTAAGCAGCGACTGCGCTTGGGCTGC